AAAAATCAAAGTACAATATGAAAATAAGATATGAACAGACATTTCATAGAAGAAGATATGCAGATGGTAAATAAGTGCATGAAAATATGTTTAACATCATTATCCATCGGGGAAATGCAAATTAAAACCATAATGAGATATCACTATAGAATCAGGCTAAAAAAATGACTAAAATAAAAAACAACAACAATGCTAAATGATGGCAAAAATATGGAGAAGCTCATACACGGCTTTCCATTGCCATCGAGTCGATTCCAACCATAGTGGCACTGTAGCGACCCTATAGAACAGAGTAGAACTGCCCCATAGGGTTTCCAAGGCTGTAAATCTTTACAGAAGCAGACTGTGACATCTTTCTTCCTCAGAGTGGCTGGTGTGTTCCAAGTGGTTAGCAGTTGAGTGCTTAACAACTGCGCTACCAGGGTTCCTGCATACATGGCTAGTGGGGATATAAAATGATATAACCACTTTGGAAAAACAGTCTGGCAGTTTCTTGTAAAACTAAATATACAACTACCATACAACTCAGCAATTGTACTCTTGGGCATTTATTCCAGATAAATGAAAACTTATGTTCACCCCAAAACCTGCACACAAATGTTCATAATAGGTTAAAACTGGAAACAACTAGTTGTCCTTCAGTGGGTTAATGGTTAAACAAACTGTGGTACATTCATACCACGGACTACTACTCAGCAATAAAAAGTAACAAACTACTGATACCCACAACAACTTGGATAAATCTCCAAGGAATTATGCTGATTGATCAAAGCCAATCACAAAATGTTTTATCCTGTATGATTCCATCTATAGAACGTTCTTAAAACAACAAATTTATTGAAATGGAGAACAGATTAGTGGCTGCCAGGCAGGTCAGGGTGGAGGGAAAGGAAGGTGGGTGTGGCAATGAGTTTCTGTTTAGGGTGATGAAAAACATTTGAAAATGGATAACGGAGATGGTTGCACAATACAGGGAATGTAAATAATGTCACTAAATTGTTCACATAAAAATTGTGAGAATGACAAATATTTTGTGATACTTATTTCACCATAATTTTTAAAAAAGCCCTCCTATACTTAAAAGGCTTCTGTATTTATATGTGTTTAGTATTTAAACCAGGGAATATGCTAAATACTTCTGAAAAAAAACTAACAGGGAAAAACCATATTTTCTCTTCGTTAATTACCCAAGGAGCACTGGTGGTGCAATGGTTAGGAGCTCAGCTGCTAACCAATAGGTCAGCAGTTTGAATCCACCAGCCGCTCCTTGGAAACCCTATGGGGTATTTCTACTCTGCCCTATAGGGTCGCTACAAGTAGGAATCTACTAGATGGCAATGGGTTTGGTTTGTTTGTTTGTTTGTTTTTGGTTAATTACCCAAAGCTACCCTATTATTTTCTAATATGACATATTTATAAAACTCCAAAGTTTCACCAAACCTTACAATTAGTTACTTCATCTATAATGCCACGAAACGTACTTTTTCTTCTCCTTCTATTTCAAGTTGCTTCTTAATGGATGAAAGTTCATTTCTGAGGTTGGATAATTCAATCTCCTAAAGAAAAGAAATACGAAGTTTGTAAGTGCTTCCGTATATTTCTCAAGACAATGAAAATGCAAACTAATGCTCCAAGTAAATTCATTTTTATAAAGAAATAAATTCACTTATGAGATACATATATTTTAAAAGTCTACTTACATAAAAGCTGCTAATTGACCATAACTAAGGACTTCATTAAAACAAATTTTTTATAGTTTTATCTAAAGAAAGATGTAACACTATATATATCTCTCTTTCTCAGCCTCTCCCAAGCTATATCCCACCACTCTTCTCCCAATGTCAGAGCTCCAAACTAATTTAACTAACGTTTATAACAATTCATTTGAAAAAGGGGTTTTTTCCACCATATCAAAAATAAATGAACTACAAGATCCATACAATCCCTTTCAGATTTAAGACTCTATGATTCTATATAGCTCAAAAATTATGGTTTTACTTAATATTTTTCTTTACCACTAACCACGGTGACATTATGAAAATTGACTTTTATTGCTATTTGTTCTGTATCTCACCAAAGATGCTCTCACTGATGACTGTTCTTGTTCTCTGCTTTTATAAAGTCCTAATTCTGAGTCTCTTTCTTCAACAATTTTATCATATTGGTGCTATATTAAAGAGAGAAAACATTTTGGGTATATTAAAAACCAAATACATTATGTTTTAGTAGGATTGATATCCCAATGTATTTAATATTTGGATAAAGTGATGTTTATGAATTCAGTAATATAAATCTTTGAGCATATTTTTTAAATTTTTTAATTTTATTTTTTCATTCAACAAACGAAACAAGGAAACATAGACAACAATCTTGGGAACACAAGAGCAAGAAATAATTCTTTTTAGTTGGAACACTGAATTTAATCATTTTTAAAATAGGCTAGAAGGACTAAGACTTCTTAGAAGAATGGCCAATTCCAGAATACAAGATGAACCTAGAATATCTTGTCATAACAGAAAGCAAGAAAGCTATCAGAGACTACTAGGGTCAAGTCAAAGGGACTTGCAAGCCAGCTTGACAACGCTGCCCTGGACAAAGCTGAGACAATTTTAATATCAACAAGGATAAAAACTGCACTGGATTGAAACATACCAAATACGTTTAAATCTATGAGCTCTTAATGTTATTTAATTTTTTTTTAAATCTTCATTGCTTATCTCATAATAATGTCATATTTAAGCAACAATTTGTAAACATGAATCGCTTGGTATAACCCACTTTCTCTCCAAATCTTAAAGGGAGTATAAGTCTTAATTCCCTAACAGAATGCTTACTTAAAAACAATAAAATTAAAAAAAAAAAAAAATAGCAGATACCCACAAGCACAACAAACTTATTAAGCCTTTCATCTATTTATTCCTTTGATAAAAATTGGTGTAGTCTAGTATGTGTGAGACACATGGGGGGGAAGCAAATATAATGAAATACAGAACCTGGGTATGTAATTGAATAAGTATAAGGTGGAAAGTGTTATGAGATTATTAGGAGAATCCAGAAAAAGAGTGATTACTTCCATCTATCAAGATGATAATGGAAGAGTTCCCCCAAGGAGTGACACCTAAGCTCAGCTTTGCACGATTAAGGTCTGAACTTGGAGAAATGGGGTATCAAGGGTATTCCAACTATAACAAGTGATTGTTACATAAAGATAATAATTTTCTCTGGCAAATCAGAATGCAATCTTGATTTCACTATTTTTAAGCAGAAATGTGGCTCCAATTAGTAATTTTCATTATATAAAAAGAAAAAATTACCTTATGTTTTTCCATAAGTGCTACCATTTCAGCTATTTTATGTTGACATCGTATATCAATTTCTTTCTGTAATTTTACTGCTTCATCAGCTATTGTTTTTGCTTTCTCAACCTATCAAATAACAAGTCTTTCTTAAAATTAATACACAAAACAAGAAATTTAACTTAAATGTAAAGAACATGCTTTACGTATATAAAATGCAGAAATCAAACACTAGGAAATTGGGAAAACCAATTAGAAAATGTACCACTGTTTTGGTTTATTTTAGGGTATCCTATCAAGCGAAGCCCTGGTGGTGCAGTGTTTATGAGCTCAGCTGCTAACCAAAAGGCTAGCAGTTCGAACCCACCAACCGCTCCTTGAAAACTCTATGGGGCAGTTCTACTCTGTCCTTTCGGGTCGCTATGGTCGGAATTGACTTAATGGCAGCGGGTTTGGTTTGGTTTATCAGGTGAGATGACAGTATAACACTGTGATGATCATTTATCTTTTCATATAAGTATATGCTACTCAAAACTCAAATAATTAGAATAACCAGGATATTTTAGCTTGCATAGAAACTAATAATTTAGTATACACTTATTAAGGAGCTCTGGTGTTGCAGTGGTTAAGAGCTCGGCTGCTATTAAAAGGTCAGCAGTTCGAACCCACTAGCCACTCCTACAGAGAAAGATGTTGCAGTCTGCTTCCGTAAAGATTTACAGCCTGGAAACCCAATGGGGCAGTTCAACTGTCCTACAGGCTCACTATGAGTTAGAATTGACTTGATGGCAGTAAGTTTTTATTTTTATGCATTTATTACTTTTTTAAATAAAAATTTCAAAATTAAGAATTTTTATTATGTACTTTTCTCTTAAAATGCTCATAAACAAATACAGAGTTTTAACATAACAAATTTTCAAACACATTTAGTTTTTCCTACCTCTCCCAGAAGAGTTTCTTCTGATGTCTTTTTATCCTCAATTTCTTTTTGATAGCTATCAGTCATTTCTTGAAATTTTTGTTTGACACTTTCTAGTTCTAACTCTAATTTACTGACCTTTAAATAAAATAAATAATAACATGAACATTAGAAAATATGACATATTAAAAATATTCCATGCTGGTTTTTGTGGTTTTGTGAATCTTTTATTTTTATTTTCCAGATGATTTTAGTTTAGTTTAGTTTTGAAGTAGTGATTTATTTCAATGAAAATATCTCCTAAATATTGTTTTTGCTTATGAAAACCTTAATACAGAGCTTGGGTACACTAAAAGTTTTATCATGTTATTTTCTTTTCTCATAGCAGAGTCTTTAGATTTTGTTTGTTTATTATTTTATTTTTGGTGAAGATATACACTGCAAAACATACATCAATTCAACAATTTCCACATGTCCAATTCAGTGACATCAGTTACATTCTTCAAGTTGTGCCAACTTGTTAATATCCTTTTCCAAATTGTTTCACCATCATCAACACAGACTCACTGCCCCCTAAGCTTCTCATCTAACCTTTTGAGTTGCTGTTGTCAATTTGACTTCATAGAAAGAATTCTTTAACACAATGCTCAATGTGGACATTCTTTTCTAAGTAAGCTAAACTATTGTTTGCTTTAAAGATGACTTCAGGGAATAGTTTCAGTTTAAGGTTTTAATAAGGTTTAAGGATATCCTCAGACCAATGGTTTTGGGGAGTTATCCAGCCTCAGTGGCTCCAGGAAGTCTGAATTCCATCAGAATTTGAAGGATTTTGTGAATCTCAGAAAATTACTTATTAATGGAAATTATGGTTAGATCATTTTCTTTACAATTTTCATATGGTGAAATGTGCTTTAGTTCTCACAAAATCTATCTTCTCCCATAAAATACATATTTAGTACTAACAAGTAATATAAAACAAGCAGTTACATTTTAATTTAAAATCAATTACTCAATAATATTTAAATGTTTAGTTTCAGTTCAGTATGTTTTATTACTATAAGTAACTATTCTAGTTGGGCAGAAAACTCAGGTGATTGACATAAAAAGCATATTCCTAATAAGATTAATTTTCTATGAACAAGCAATATTTTCAATTTCTATTGTTTTCACATTCTTTGTATAAATAGTTATGGAGTTATGTAGATATGACTCTAATATAGTAATTACCATGAGAAAATGAGGTCCCTGAACTAGCACCCATTCCCAGATCCTTATTAACTTAGGGCTGAATTAGAATTGGGGAAGGGAGGCATGTGTAATTTAACAATGAATCAGACTGTATTCTGTACCCATAAGCCAACCACCAACCTTAAGACATTGAACATTACCAATATTGATAAAGCCTTCTGGGTGCCCCTCTTCATTAGTTTTTTTTTTCTCCTGTCCCCTCAAATGTAGCAATCTTAATTTAATAGTCATCATTCCCTTGCTTATCGTTATAGCTTTATTGTATAATTATGTATCTCTAAACAATATTTTTTTTGGTGTTTTATTTTTTTATTTTTTTTATTGATGTAATTAAATGAAGTTTACATTTCAAGTTAGTCTCCCATACAGAATTTTTTTTAACATACATTGTTATGAGACCCCAACCGCTCACCCCATTCTGCGACAGCATACTCCTCCCCTCTGCCCATGATTCCCCATGAATATTCAACCAGCTCCTAACTCTCTTTGCCTTCCCCTCTCACCTCTGGACAGAAGCCGCCCCTTTGGTCTCTTATATCTATCTACTTGTCTAAGAGGCACATTCTTCACGAGTACCACTTTTTGTCCCACAGTCCAGTCCAATCCCTGTCTGAAGAGATGGCCTCGGAAATTGTTTTAGTTCTGGGGTGATGGAGAGACCAGGGGCCATGCTTTC